GTTTAAATCTTTATAATGTTATTATGAAAGCTTGTGTATCCATCATTGGTGGCAAAGTCATAACAGTTCTTTTCTTACCTTCCTCCCTTCTCTCACCCTTACCTTATTTTCTCACCTTCTATCATCTCCCTTTGTTCTGCCTCGCTCCCTCCCACTCCTGTCCTCCAGGTTGCGTCTAGCTCGGATGAATGAAGAGATGCGAGAGGCAGAGGCGGCTCCGCTGGGTCAACCAGGTCAATACCCCACAAGCAGTCCCACTGAGCAGCAGTATAGGAAGTGCATCCAGGAATTCATCTGTCTCAACATAGACGAATGCTAGTGGTCACTTCTGTACCGTGGAGCAAAGCGTGTGCTCTATTTATAAATCTTCCTCCTGACTGAGAAAATAACATATTCATGTAAAAGCTGCCCCTACACCCTGATCACAAATCAGTTACTTCCCCTAGATCTAAGCCTGCAGGCAACTTCTGATAAGCTGGGTGTCTGAATACAGAGTGACTATTGGATGCTTCAAGTCATAGGGAGCAGCCCCGTGATGGACCTTTCTAACTCTACTGACTATCCAGTCACCTTCACCATCTTCCTGCTTCGCCACTATGTTTCTGCTTGCCATTACTTGGCACTACCAATCCTAGCTACACAACACAGCCAGTAAAATGACATCAGCTTTTTTGGTGTTTCGCTAACAGGGTTATGCTCTAACTTCATTACATGGTGTGACCTCCTGTATGAGGGTGTGGGTGTTTTTATTTTTGTTGCCTAACAGCTCTTACCTCAGAAGAATCTCGCTGCATTAATCCTGTACACTTTATATCTATCCAGACCATCTGTGTGACATCCAATGTACCCATCTCTCCTTCATCAGAGATGTAAATATGCATATTTAGAAGTTTAGAAACTGTGTACTGTGGCATGAGGTAAAACAATATGGTATTTGTTCCAGTAACTTAAAAGAAAAAGAGTAACTGACAAGCTGCAGTGGAGGTGGGCAGGATAGTTTTACTGTGTATAAAAAGGGGGGTCGGGAAGGAAGAAGTGAAACTGTGACAAAAATGTTGAAGGGCTTGTGGGGAAGAGACCCTCGCCTGCTTTGTAAGATACTTTGTGTCGTCATGAGTGAGTGAGTGAACAGGAGAGTGCATGTGTTAAAGAATACTGAGAGACAGTTAAATAATATGTAAAGGAAAAAAAAAGACTGTGCACTTTTCCCATATACAGAATTATCATTTAGCTTTTACATTGTTCTTGTCTAGTCAAGTTGTTGTCAATTTATTGTCTATTTTAATGATGTCTTTTTTATTTATCTTTCCAGAGGACCAGTGCAATGCATTATTGAATGCAGTTTTAGATCAGCATTTCTGTTAATGATTGTCATTTCAATCTAAAATCCTTATTCAGAATTTATGATGGAGGTCTTTAGATATATTTTACATTAACAGCAGTCAGAAAACGTTCAAATGGCCTTAGATTACAGAGTACTTTTGTCTTGGCAGTAAAACATGCCACTTCTCATTAGGTTATGCAAGCATATCAATGGAACTTCTGATTGCTCTGAGGAAATTCTGAATTGACAGTGACTCATTGTTTGAGCAATAACTGTGCCAATAGTTCAGAGCAGTGACAACATGCAGAAACGTAAAACTGCATCATGTTATTCACTTCCATTTACAGAACATGAAACTACAAAAAGCTCTTCAGCTTCCTGGCAATGGTAATATTACAGGAAAGTATTCGTGTTATGTTGAAATTATGGAGCATATTTAATCTTTTAAAAACTCGTGTCGTGACAGGACTAGCATATCTACGTCAGTGCTAAGAATATCCTCTGTATGCTTTGCTAGATTTTTGGGAAGTTTGACCTTCTTTGCATCTTGAGCATGATGAATATTTTTTCTATAATTTGATCACTTTGTGCAGTGCAGTCCTGTCAAAAAAAGCATGTACCAATATGACCTCTCTGGTGTCAGAAGTTTCTTCCTTTTTCCACCTCTGTGCCATTGTTTCATCCACACATGAATCTGTGGTGACTTTTCTTCTCTTCTTTTCCTTTCTTTCATTTTTTTTTATACTGTGCTTTTATTTTCCTCTGCCAAAGACTTTTTTTTTTTTTAAAAGGGAAAGTGTCTGACACTGTTGTATAACATCATGTTAAAAAAAGGAAAAAAAGAAGAATTGTTTTGGGTATATACAGGATACTCTTACCATCCTTTCTGAGTTGTGAGAGTGGTAGAAACACTGTTGGTGCTCACATGTTCAGAAGATGTGACTTGCCTGATAGATGCAATAGTTCAATGTACTGCAAGTAGAACCAGTCTCGGGGGGTGATGTGAAGCTACTGTTACCAAACTGTTAAGAGCTGTCGCCCTCGCGGAAGTATTAAATGTTGTGTCCATTTGTGTGTAGTATTGGCTTAAGAGTGGTTAAAGGCGCAAACATGCTGTATATAGTACACTTGCATATTTTAACTTAATGCTAACTTCCTGCCTCTCAGCATTCGGTCACAGATTCTGTTTAATGTTTGTTTTTTCATTGTATTTGAAAAACAGCCGGTCGGGTAGAACTGTGACACGGTTCTGAATTACTTGCGGGGTTTCTTCTGTTTACTGGCATTTGGATATCTTTGGAATACTCCCTTCCATGTCTTTAGAAGCACTAAGGGGAAAAACAAAATACATACAATAAAACTGAGAAACTGAAATGGATCTGTTAACCCAGCTGCCTGCTTCTTATTCTCATTGCTGTTCCCTCTCTCATCTTTTCTGTCTAACATTCTCCCAGCATTCTTTTTCCAGATGATAGCTGCTCTAATTTATTGAATAATAATAAATACGGCAGTGGTTGTAATCCATAGATATAGCCAGATGCTGGGAGAGTGCTATTTTACAGAATACTCTGGTGTGTCTTTGGTGATGTACAAACTTTTGGTAGCACTTGGCTTATTCAAAGCAATAAACCAGTTAGTCTCATGTTGTGAAATATCACTGAGGTGTACACGTGGATCTCTCCAGACTCTACTATTTAAGAATAACTTAAGCATTCAGAGTCTTATGGGTATTAAAACAGTGCTTCATCTGCTTGCCCGCAGCAGCAACACCGTGCCTTGAATAATTCAGTGTCTCCAGTGTGTAAAACATGTATGTGCTCTCACAAGCGTTGTCACACCATCCCTGAATAAAATGTCCTCTCTAATTCCTTCAATTTAACACTAAAGACGAATGACACATGTCCACTTGAGGAAATAACCACTGACTGACATATCATTGCTTCTGTTACCACAGGACGTACCCCGAGCAGCAGGAGAGGAAAACCTAAGGATGTTCGGGATAGAGTAAGTGAAGCATCCTGGGCTGTCTTGCTGTGGCACACTAGCGTGATACTATGATTTTTCCTGCTCTGGTGGTTGCGCTTTAACTTGAGGTTCTTGCTCTGTGGCCCTCCCCCCTCCTATTTTTATGGATAAGCTTGGAAAACATTTGCTGTGATAATGCTGCCAGTCTTTTCCCTTTCTTATAAATGAGGCACAGGAACATTGTCTTAAGGAGGATGTGCCAAGACGGCTACAATACAGTATTTATATAGTTAACTGTAATTGTGACTGCATTCAATGAGAGTTGGTAAGTTAAATGAATGAATGAACAGGATGCTCACCACTAACACCCTTTCCACACTTGCTATTAAGTATCCAGGAATCCCATTTAAGAGGAAATAAAGGTTTTTTACTTGTACGTCCCATGATTCACAGGGCTAGGCTTAGGAGCAATGCAAAAATATGAGGCTGTGGGCACTTTTCTCTTTCGTGGGTATGCAAAGCAAACAATCTGATCTTTCTTCCTTATAATCTTGCTTATATACAGTACTGTACAAAAGTCTTGAGTCACCAATTGTTTCTTAATTTGCTTCTAATAAGCCAGACTTTTATGTTATTTTAAAAAATGTGGTCAATAGTTCAAAGTTTATCAGCTGCTTTTTCACTGAACTTTACTCCAGTCTTTGTGCCTCACAATTTCCAATCAACAATGATGATTCATTCAAGTATAAAAATGCTTCTGACTTCAGGGATGTGCCAGGCTCGTCTTAACAAACAACTTGCGAAACAACCGGTTTTAAATGTTATTTTTAGTCACCGTGTTTCTGATAAATGGTCAACAGCACTTGTTGTAGATAAAACATTATTTTTGTACCAATGAGTTGATTCCTAAATATTAGCTGAAAACTTAACATATGTCCACGTGGCTTTCAGCATGTGCTTAAAATGTTGAGGAAAGGGGACAAGAAAGGATTTGGAAAAAAACAGATGAACAGGATCTGAAAGTCATGTGCTTAAGAAACAGATTAGAAATACAGCATAGACCTGGCCCAGGCTCTGAGATATGCACCTGACCCTTCATTTGATCCCTCTACTGTTGACTGAAGCCTCATCAGAAATTGTCTCAGTGCAAAGGTGGCTAGATTCTTAGGAAAGGGAAAACAGGTAAAGAAGAATGACATACGCCAAATATACAAGAATTGGACTAAAAATCAGTGGCGACATTTTTGAAGGAGTAATGAATTCAAATTTTATATTTTTAGTTGGTGTCAGTGAGTGTCTACAGCATTGTCATGGTTGGACATTTCAGCCAGTGATGTTGGGGATCTTGTCCAAATTGAATGAATTATGAACGCAGAAAAATACTGTCAGGTTTTGACCCACCATGTAATGATGACAGCTTCATTTTTAATGATTACAAAGATCCCGACCACACTGGCAAAGCATTGCTAGATAGAAAAACTCACAATGAAACAGTATTAGGCATAGATTAGTGTTACCAAAAGAAAAAGAAATGAGTGGTGTCTCAAGATTTTTTCACAGTAGTGTATTGCATATTCTAAAAGAAGGTTGGTAATTCTCCATGGTGCCCTGCAGTGGGACAGATCCTTGACTTCAGTGTCCACTGTTTCAGGTGACATCTCCTACACTGATGTCTTTCGCGAGTTTTCTCTCCTCGCGTCTCTCCAGCCCGAAAAGTTGAGAAGAAGGAGCTTACAGTTCAGCAGCTGTAAGAAGCCAAAGTGATCCCTGCTGACCCCTCACTTCATCCGACCTCTCTTCAGTCACTTTGGAATCAGGCAGGAGACTGCTGCGTTCGATTAGAAGACACGTTGGTCCTCGGAAGTGAATGCTCTGGGAATGAAAAAAGAAAAGTCCAATTCCAGCAGGCACAAGTTAAAACTACAGCAGACTTGTAATAGTTGTAATATTCTCTCGTAAATAAACTTGTTCAAAGCCAAACAGTTCTATTGCACTGATGTTTTAGCTGACTTACTCCAGCTTTGATAATGTTAGTCATCCAGCAGAGCTGACATTAACATTTGATGACCTTTAGACATATAACACCAAAACAATTCTCAACCTGTCCAACTAATATTGCATAGGGCCCCATTACAAAGTAAACTCAACCTTGGACCTGTCTGAGCATGAACAATGGGACCTCTGGAGCTTGAGTTGGATAGGACATCATGTAGATGCATCATCAAATTGGAATCTGGGGAGCCTGGAGGTTCAATCAGTGCCTTGGCTTGTTTTTTGTGTTCCTATTTCTGCCAACAGGAAGTACAATTTCTTTATGTGCAGCAGTTTTTGGACAGATGGTCATATGTGCAATGAATGTCCTCATGACTCTCAGGACCCGAGTTATCCCCGGAGAACAGTGCAATGCAAGAGGTGATGATTGTTATTTACTGTAATTTGGGGGGGGAATTCTCTCAGGAAGCAGTTGAGCTTCCCAAACCGTGGGTCTCACACCCACACCAACAAAATAAAAAAATAACACAGATAAAATAATCCGGGTTTGACTGTGTTTGCTAATGCTTATGCAAATATTTCCACGGGCTTAATGACGCTCTCTATGATGAGTAAATGAAACTTGACCTTTAAATTAAGTGAAGTAATCCTTTAACATTTGTTTAGCATTTGTGATGAAATTTCTGATAAAATGATGATGATGAAGTGTTTTGTAACTGGCAGAAGTCAAATAAAAACAATCTACTGAAATTATTAAAGGTCTTGTGCAATGTTTTAGCGGACTAAACAACAATGTTTAGTCCGTGTTTTGTTTCAAATCCAAATTTAAGCACCAGCATAAAGTACCGGGAGGCCCTCTGAGCCCCTCGCATCAGACAGACCGCTGTGTAGTGTGTCAAGTGCTACTTGGCGATTGACTACAAATGTAAGTACGGATGTTATGATTAAAAGACAGTTACTGAAGGGTGACCATGTTTGTTAGACGGTACTGGACTTCCAGGAGGATCGCGATTGGGCAGCTAGCGACAGTAAAGCACTTGCTAAGTAACATTTCGACTGCTACAGCAGCGATGAAGAAGAAAACCGGAAGTGTAATTTTTCCTCCTGCTGGCGATAGCGTAAGCTACTTTGGTGTCATCGTCTTATCGGATTGGGGTTGGCAACAGAAACAACAACCTTATTTCGTGTCCAGCCACGAATACATATTTTCGTTGGGGTTTCTGGAGAGGTATGTGTGCACTGCACATCCCGTAGTTACTAATAAAAGCGAGAGATGTCGCGGTCAGCTGTCGTTATACAATATACAATACAACTGTTCGTGCTAGTAGCTGCTAACATTAGCCGGTTAGCAGTGGCCTACGTTGGCTAACGTTAGCCGCTTGTTCTAAAATGCACTCAAACAGGAACCGACACCGGCTAGCATTAGCAAAGCCACCGTGCCAAGCTAGCCTTCCTGAACTGGCTTTACTGATTAAAGTGTGGTGTGATTGAGTGGTCAGACACATATGCAGTCATTCTGTAGCTGAAGCTTGGTCCGTAATAGTTGTTTATTATTTAATTATCAGGCTTTATGACAGGCAGTGAATGTGCCAGAAATGTAACGTTAGCCGCTAAGTAGCGGATTAGCCTCAGTCACATAAGTTGCGTTAAGAAGCCTTCTTCTTTATTAGGAAGTGATAATGACATAATTCTAGCACTACTGCGGTCCACGTACTGCTTATTACATGTCAGCGTTTGTCCCCGTGACAGCAGGTCAGTTGACAGTGTTTGTTATTGTCGTAATTTTCAGTTACATGGGTTGACAGGGGAAGAAAGTTTAAAGTACGTTTTATCCGTTGTGTAAGTATTTGGAACACGATGCGTATTTTAACTTGAACG